AATAACAATAAAATGACTCCTCTCACTACTGGTAATAATATAAATGATAATAAACATGTTATAAATGTCACCTGAAAGTTATAACAAACTATAATTAATGTGGTTTTATACGGCGCAGTTGTATTTGTTTTACTAGATATAATTTTAATATATTTATTTGTACAAAATAGAAATGTTTTTAAATTAAATTTATACAAATCTGAAGTCCTGAAAGATTTCAAAGAAGTTAAAGTTTAAGAACTTTTTTTTCAGTGTAAATATTAAATATTCTGTTTGAAAGTACAGTTCGGGCCATATATGGAAAATTAAACCATTTTTGTAACTCACAGCTTTAATTCAAATAAATAAAACCCATAAATCTTCGTCTCAGAGGCTCAGAAGTAGTTGGTTAGACTAACATAATTTTGAATACAAACTTTATATTTTAGTATCTGGATAAAAGTCTTTGCAATGATATTTTACTGCCTGGTGACATCACCATGTGCTGTTTCTTTACCTGAGATGCTCTGCCAGGCTTTAGTGCGGTGTCTCTCGGCCGCTTGTTTCTGAGTCTCTGCCTTAAGTTTTGTATTTAATAACTAAAGCTGCTCTGTTGGGCTGAGATCAGGTCACTGACTCAGACATTGGAGACTTTCTTTGCTTTCCTTAAGAAAGTCTTGGGCTGTTTTTGCAGTTTGCTTTGGCTCATTATTTGTCTGCACCGTGAAGCTCTGTCTGATCAGCTCTGCAGGATTATCTGAATGTGAGCAGAGAGGAAGCCCTGAGCTCTTCACAGCTCATCCTGCTGCTTCGATCAGCAGTCACAATAAAGACGAACAACCTTCTTCCACTGCAGCCATAGCCGAACTTTGGCTCGTGAGCTGTTTCCTCCAGTTTCTCTTCCCATTACTGCAAACAAGTGTTTCTGTACCATTCTGCATTTATTATTAACTCCACAGCGCATCTTTTGTCCCGTCTTCATCCCCTCACCCCAAACCAGTTGCAGCAGATGGCCCCCTGGTTCCTTCCCACTGTCGCACATGATCACAGGGCGTCATATGACTGTATATCATTGTAGTTCTTTACCTTCAGTATAAAGCACCTTGAGGCAACAGTTGCTGTATAAATAAAATTGAATGTAAACTGTCTTTATTTACGTTCATGAAGGTGTCTCTTTGACAATAACACTCCTCCCTCCTCTGGAGTGTTAAAATGTTGTTTTTTTAACTAAAGAAAGAACTTGCAATCATCCACCTCAGCTGTCTTCTTCGGTTGATTGGGTCAGTTTTTTCTGTCTGTGTGACACGTTGATTCTTTTTCAGCCTAATGAGGGCCTCTTCGACTTCCACTGACAGCTCGTTGGGTTTGGATAAAAGCGTAACTGGTTAAACTGTTTGTCAGTCAATAGGCCAATTATTTTTGAGCCTCTGACAGTGGGGACAGCGCATAGAAATGAACAGTAAATGCAGTGCTTTTGTTAAACCTTGAATAAAATCAGGGAGTCTGCACGTTAGTTGATTTATAAATGCACTGCAGTGGTGTATAAAAGTACACAAACTGTGTTCCAGTCAGAAAACTTATGGACCTACTAAATCTAACAAAACTGTCAAAATAATTAAAGTTTCTACATAAATATGATGCACTGGTAAAATCAGTCTTTTTGCTTTTAACATCACAGAATATCACAGTTACATCTGTGGCTCTCATGAACTATTTCTGAGCTTAAAATGAACTCCAGTCCTCTTTATGTCATTAGACTCACCTGGCAGGTAGCTTTGAATTCACCAGAGGAAGGACAGTTCTTAGTCTGGAAGCTTTATTACTATTGATGAAAGGTAAATGACAATAACTTCATGAACCTGATCCTGGCGTTACCTGTGGGTCAAAATGTGGTTACTTACCTGAACAAAGGTCAAACTAAAGTGCTTTTGCACTCGCAGCTGGTTTAGTGACGAGAGCTCTCAGCCGTGTACATCAATCAATGTTTATTTCAATTTGCTGTTGCATCAACATATTTTCAGATCATTTTTTGTCAAGTAATTTCTATTACACTAGTATAATATCAAGAAGAACAAAAAGTGGTAGAATCCATTTAAATAAGACA